TTTTTAATTTTTTAAAATTTAGATTAATAATTATCTCCCTTCCAGTTCCTGGATTTCTGACACGAGATGAGATGAGACCTAGAAAAAGAATCCTGGTGTTTTAGTAGATCACAAGCTGAACATGAACCAAGAGTGTGATGCAGCTGCAAAAAAGCAAATGGAGTCCTATACTTCAGCATAAGGACAATGTCTACATTTCTCTTGATCTTGACATCATTATTCCTCTCTATTCTGTATTGGTCACACTTCACCTAGAATCATGCGCACTGTCCTGGACACCACATTTCACAGGAGACACTGACAAAGTGGAGCATGTCCAGAGCACCAAGACAATAAGAGGCCTTGAAGGAAAAACTGATGAGGAACCACTGAGCCAGCGAGCATGTTTTGCTTGGAATAGAGAAGACTGTGGGGAGACATGATATCTGTATCTGAAGGACTTTTGTGTAGAAGACAAAGCAACATTGTTCAGAGTTGTTCCAGAAACAAAGAGTTTAAATTACAACAAAGGCCTAATAGCAAGGACTGTTCAAGAATGGAACCAATTGCTTCAGGAGGTGTGGACTTTCCTCTGCTGGGGTCTGGATGGCCATCTGTCAGGGTTGCCGTCACAGTGGGCAGGAGATGGGACCAGAAGATCTATCTTCACCCCTTCCATTCTATGATTCTATCTATTCCCTTGTTATCATTCAGTGTTCTGGAGAGGCAAATCATAGTAATTCCATTTAAAAAAAGAGGATGGAGACTATTAGTGGAGGCAGAAAAGCAAGGATTTTCAACTGCCGCTGGTTCTTCTGCCACAGCTGGAGTCCAGCTCCATAATTTGCAGTGCAGATGTTCAATTCAACAGGCCAAAGTTGCCTTTATCCTTGCTGCCTTCCTTATTGAAGTGAACGGGTCTGTTTGTTGAGCCATTCATCTTTAATTTTATCAAATGAATCAACCCATAAGGTGTCCGTTAGCAAATGATGAGATGACGCAGGTTCCATAATTGCCTCATTTGTGTGGTGAGATCATCATGCATGAGACATCGCTTGCCCTTTCCTGTCACCCTACAGATGTCCATGATTCAACCGAAACAACAACACAACTGGACTAAAAAACATTAGCGTTACAAAACTCCTTCAGGGAGAAGTGTGTTGGCATTATTACATACTCTAGCCCCAAATCCCCCCTCTACACTTGGCTTTTTTCCAATTCAAAATGAACTGTTCAGAAAATTGTAGAACTCTACTGAAAGCATCTTCATTACTTTTAAAACCAGTAGCTGGTTTGAAGGATACATTAAATCATCTTTCACTGCAATGGAGACAGGAACATAGGATCCCCTGACTTGCACACTGTCCTATCCAGCATGGCCATAAAGAAGAGTACTGAATGTTTAGGCCTGGTTTTGTTTAGCGGTGTATACAACATTTCTAACTGAATTCAAAACATCCCGTGTAGAGCATCCTGGCAGAATTTTGAACTCAAAACATCTCTGGGGTTTTCTTTTTTAGCTCAAAGCATTTTAAAAAATGTTCGAAACAGTCCATTTGTCCCTTGAAACAGCTGTTTTGCCCCTGAAGCAGGCTGTTTCACAAGTGAAATGAGGGGGCCCCAGAGTGGAAGAAGCTGTTTGACATGGTTTTGATTCTGAATGACTGGAATTCGCTGTGTTGCGTGAAGCCAACAAGCGATTCTTAACATCAACTATGAAACAAACTCTTTAAAATTTCAATCCATGTATTATGGAGTTTGGTTGTATCAACAAATCATGGTTAAGATTAACTGCTGTTTAGGATCTGGATCCAATGACGAACTGGGGCAGATAACAAAAACCGGAAGAATTTGCTTTTAATTTTCTTCTGATGGCTGTGTGGCGATGGGAATTCTGGGAAGGACAGTCTCATTTGGAAGGCACCCTCTTTCTGAATCATGGTGTCCAAACCCAACCTAATGTTGGAAGGAGAAGGGGATGGCCTACGTGCCCAGGGATTCTGTGCTTAAGGTAGGACCTGACTTTAGGCCACACATCTCAGTCTCCTGCGTGGCTCCTCAAAAAGTGTTTGCTGCCATTCAGTTGGATCTGATCAAGTGCAAAAGGAATCATGGTTCATTCTTCGCCTTACCTCGAGGGCTTTATCATACATGGTTTTCGCTTCGCTATCTTGCTTGTCCGACATGAGCCAAGACTTGATCAGATATTCATAAAAACTATCCCCGAGGCCACCAACAGAGACATGATCTGCAGCCGTGGGAAGAACCAAGCAACTTACGATTAGAAATGTCAGACAGTTGCACTGAAGATACTTTGGTTGACTTAATATTTTATACATATATTTTAACCAACTGGAGAACAGACGACCTAGTGCGAAATTTGCACAGGAGCCCAAACAATTGGGACGTTAGCCTACTTCTTTTGTGTTTTGTGATGGACAAATTCCTTCAAAGAGGGAGAGCAAAATAATTCCAAAAGAAACAGATAATCAGCCCATCTTCTAGCCATATTGAATGATAGTTCTCCAAGGCATCCAGCTGTTTGGGGTTGCCTCAGAAAAACTAAATATGCTCAAACCCAATTAGCCCTTGGATGGGAGACCACCAGAACATCCCAGGGTTGTAGGGAAAATACATCCCAGATTAAGGCAATGGAAAACCAATTCTGTACTGTTACAGAAAAAACCCTGCCTTATATCGAAGTAGTGATCAGAATTTGACTAAAAGCAGAATTTCTCAACCTCAGCAACTTTAAGATGTGTGGACTTCAACTCCCAGAATTCCCCAGCCAGACTAGGCCCAGCGGCTCGGGGAGTCCGGGGGGTGCAGTGCACAGAACATTACGTTGGTGAGGGTGGTGAACACCGGACCGAGA